GCTGGTAATGTCCTTGACCAGAAACATGGTCAGGTGGGTGAACAGGTCGTGATTGAATTGCATGGTCAGGCCTTCGTGTATGAAATGCGAGGACCCATAGATGGAGATGAGCCAATCACGGTAAGTGTACAATGCCATTATTGCAAATGGCTGTCGGCCGACAAACATAACATCGATTAATGCGCATTCCATTTTCTTCTATAGTCGACCCTTCTGGTTTCGGCCGCAGAAGCCGAGGAGGAAGCGGAAGGCACCCAGCCACAGCAGACATCAGCGGCTGATGTGGGTGCAGCGCAAACGCAGTGGACCACCGAGGTAGGTATTTTCGATTACCGTCCATCCTTTTGTAAAATTTTCGATGGCTGAAAGCATTTGGATTACTACTTAACGTCACTCTCTGACTCTGGTTACGCACTATTTTTGCATGCACGAGGGGTGCCTTATGCTACAGGTCATATCTGCTGAAAGCAACTGCGAATTGAGGTATAAACAGGGTTTCACGGGGACTTTGCATAACCGACATCTTCGTTGAAGACTTTAGGCCTACACTCGTGCGAAAGTCCTTTGTATACCTGCCTACTTCACCCTCTACCCTCGAGCTTCTCATGTCGGCCACTGGGAAAATGCACACGTATTCGGATGTGAAGTCAATTGAGTACACTAGTCTTATGACCAGCTGCGATTTCATCTAATAAGCAGGTCTCCTAGCAGTTCAGGAGCTGCAAAACCTGGAGTTCTCTACGACTGGGTGATGACTAATAAGCCAAGAATGATCATTCACATCATTCTGCCCCAAAACTCGCCATTGATTGCCTATTGACGGGGCTCGAGATGGAACCCAATGGGACGAATGTGCCCCGTAGCGTGATCGCTGAGCGCCTCTCTGTCATACCTAATACCCCTGATCGCAACCGACATGCCAAAGTGCCCGTGGCTCAGTGGTTTGGGCGTGGGGCTTACCTGTACATCATACAGCTGCGATCATGACTGATCTAACCGGCCTCGATGTCATTGATTAAATTTTCCCACGCGTAATAATTTGCAGCTGCGGATCTGCAAAGCTCAACCCATTCTCTTCTCCAGCGTTGGAGCCCGAATAACAAAGGTCCAAGAACGGCTTACATGTCTTGATGAACTGTGTCGGGCCAGGTCTTAGGTTGCTCTTCTCTTCGATGCCTCCATGTTGGCAGGGACGTCGGATCAACAGCAGTATAACGGAGTTAGTACGACGGAGGACGTGTCAAAACCACTGCAGTCATAAGTGGCTTGAGATAACGTTTAAGTGCGTGCAGAATGTCTCATTTGAGACAAAGTCGGTGGGCTTAACTTCAGGGTGAACTTATAACCAACAGGTCATGGGTTTCAGCTTGGGCGGGGGGGGTTGCAGAAGCTGGGGCTTAGCATAGCTGGCGGATGTCTATAAGCCAATAGCGGATATTCTAGTGTCTCTTGTTTTTGTTAGTAATGTCGTTCAGCCTTTACTAAGGAATTCCTTATGTTCTTTGCTGATAACTTTACCATTACTTTTATATAGCACGTTCAGTGGTTGATTCAAGCTTGAGCTAGCGCCCTTGATGGGTTTCCCATTGAACGTGTTCACTTCCTCCTTTTTTGAATTGCTTTCATTAATTTTAGAAAGTTGCAATTTTTATGGCAGCTTATAAGTACGTGCGCAAGCTGACAGCAAACGAGGCTGTCACCGCCTAACTTGACGGTCGAACTGCCATATGGTATTCTTGTTTATGCGAGTTCAAAGTCGCCCTTGTTTTAGCCCGGTACGTCTGTAGGGGGAACCAGGTCGTTTGTGGCACACTTAGGCATGCTACTTATCTTGCTTGACCACTGTGTCCGGCCCGCTCCGGTCGTCATAACCGTGTCTTTCGATCCGAGCAAGGTGGATTGGGAAAAGAGAGTGTAATAGATGTAGCGCATGTCTGTCTCGCTGAAATCCAATGCACGCGCAATTCACCTGGGCTGCGCCACTGCAGGGGGCTTGCGCTGTGGATGTCGTCGTTTTTGACGCATAAGCAGAGACCAGATAGCATTTAGTTCCCAGCATATTTTCTCAACTCTTCTTTTTCCCTACAGGGTCAGCAGTCGGAAGCGGCCGCTGAAAATTCGGAGGTGCCCGCTGGGCAGCAGTTTACCCTCACCGAGGCAGTTGCCATCGTAGATGGCAAGACCATGCAGACTGTCATCCTGGAGGACGACAAAGGCAATGTGTTGGATCAAAAACAGGGTCACGCCGGCGAGCACGCGATCATTGAACTCAACGGCCATTCTTTGGACTACGTCTTCCTCGGACCCTCAGAGACAGGCGAACCCATTACGGTCAGTTTTCTTCCTAATATTGACTGAAATTTTCACATCTTTCTGTTTCAACAATTGACTCACAGTCGTTCCTAATAGGCATGATCAGCAAGCTAAGCAGAAGTCTTTTTTTATGATGATGTATTTCTTTAATTAGTTGCCTGCTTGCACTTCTTTTTGCGCTCTTCCCTGTTGGCTTCGCGTGCTGCTGCATTTTCAAGCCTTTTATTGCCCTTATTACCAATTGTTGAGACTATTGTTAAGGGTATAACCTTATTCGTGGAATCAACTGCTAGAAAAATCTCATGGCAGAGTAGTAGAATAATCCTCAGGGGTTTTGGCCCCTTCAATTTTTCCAGCCAATGAACTTCAGAATTGATGCCAACGAATGCTGCTGCTGCTGCCGCGTCTACTGCTACTTACCAATATCCCCTTTACTACTACTGATAATATAAGTATGACCGCTACTGCCACTGTTACCATTATTCCGATCACGATCAATACTGTCACTACTAGTAGGTGCGATTATTGGAACATGGCTTTTGTTGCCAATATTACCCCAATTAGCTATACTGTTTCAGTTTTTTCAGTTTATTTGGTGAGGATAATAGGCAATGCCTTTGAAAACCCTATTCATAACGTGTGCAGCACCCTATAAAAATTTACCACTACTAACATAATATTGGCAAACAGTGAGTAGCATGAAAATTTACCACTACTAACATAGTATTGGCAAATAGTGAGTAGCATTGTTTTTTACAATATATGTTTGGTTTTTAGAATTCAGACT